GTTCTATTGGCAATGATGATGATGGCAATAATGTGTTATATTAAAAAAAATTTTTTGTGGATATACAAATTAAAAATATCTGTTCTTTAGATTTAATTTCTAAATATAAAATTCAATATTGCTTTGAATGACTGGTATGGCACTAATCTCAATTTTTTGTCTACATCACGAAAAAAATCTTCAACACTATTACTACTACTGGAAGTTAATTTCTCATAATACTCTTGTATAATGGATCGATATTCACTTAAGCAATACATATAGAAATAGTAAAAACTCAAACACGGTGAAAATTTTGCGGAGAAGTGTCTTGGGCGTGTCATTTCGCGTAAAGGAGACTTTAATTGGCCGCCCAGGTCGTGCAATTTGACACTCATATGGATTTTTTCTTTTGGAGTTATGTGAAGGATAAGATTTACACAAATATTCCGCAAACGCAATTTAGACGATCAAAGATAATATTCAAACTGTTATTGGCGAAATTGAGCCGCAATTGTGCAAGAACGTGATGAAAAATTTTCTCAAAAGAATGTCCATTTATAAGAAAAGTCGAGGCGGCCATTTGATTGATATTGTGTTCCACATTTAATCGCACAATCTGTACTTTGGATTAGAATAAATATATCTCAATGTTTTCAAAAACTTATTCGATTTTTTTTTCTTAATTGAAAATGAAAGCTCTTTTAATGGAAGACCTTGTGCATTCGTTACAGTTATACGAACGCCGCCCGGTGCAACATTATTTTAACAAGTGTAAAGTTTACACTAATTGAAAATATATATGGTTGTTATCAATTATTTTTTTAGCACATAATGAGTAAAATTAACACAAACTCCTATCTTAATCAATTACATAGCTTGCAAGATTGCAATTAATTCAAATTTAATTATATGGTATAATGAGAGCGTATATCGTGATATAACTTCCGTGATCGAGGAATATATGAATTATAGTTGAAATTACTTTTTACAACGCGACCCTCTTGTGCGATAATCTCATTTATACAAACAGAAATGCCTAACAATAAACAAAACCGTAATACTTTTGAGTATTTTAAAACAGCGGAATAGTGCCTGATATTTAACCAAACACAAGGGCTACCCTCGAGTATTAACTTATGGAACAGAAATAACAGCTTTCTCTCCCTCTCCCCTTTCTCAGAGAAACTAAAATAAGCCAGGAAATGCAGGATTGTCTGCAACATATGTGGCCGGGTATACCTGACAGAGTGCTTTTTATGTTGAAAATTTTTCTACAGGCAAATATACAGTATGAGATTAGCGGAGGACATGTATTTATATTTGCCCAAATTGATTATTCGGTATAACCTTTCATTCCACAAAAAATAGAAGCAAATTTCTCAAGTTTGAAATTCAAGAAAAATATTAGAATGTTGATAAATTATTTTATTTCTCATATGTGTTGCAATTGGGCAAATAAAATAATGAACTTTGTAATGTTACTGCACCAGCATGAAAATACTTGTTAAGAGGATTATAAAAAACTGATTATAAAACTCCATATATTACACCTTTTAACATGCAATAATAGTGAATAATTAAGTGCAGCTATATAATATACATATAATTTGATGAAAATATTTAATTAGAACCTATTAACTACATCAATAGAAAAGTCGAATATACATATATGAATAAATAATAAAGCATGGAGTTGATAAAATAAATTAATAATGCCATTTGTTTACAAACACTTGTTTACATAAATATACATATATAAATGAAATAAATAAAGCAGTAAATAAGCAAAGTACAAAAATAATTTCTTATATTTTCATAAAATACAAAATGTGATTTTATTTGGAAATAATCGTAAGTGCAATGCTAAATCTCGCATCATTTGCAAGTAACGCTGGTTAAATTTCAAAATTCTGACAAGTTACACGTAGTTCCATGTACAGACTCGAAGAACGTCTACGAATCAAAGAAATTAACATAACCCATTGTCCTACCAAGCTAGCCGCAGGAGAGGATGGCATCTATATAAAAGCTCGTCACAATAATCCTTTATTTACAGCGACCGCAAATGAAGTGCTGTTATAACCGAAAAATTGAAAACAAAGACATTATATAAATTTGCGTGACTCGTGTAAATATTATTATATGTAATAATTCATGTTGTAACATAATTTAATTGGAGTTTCCGTAATGTTTAAATCACTATATACCAGAAGACATGGTAGTGTGTCTCGGTATATCTTGGCGCTAAGACATTAAATATTACGACAGGAAAAACATTGCCTGGCAATTTAACACAAAATATGTAGACAGAGAAAATAAATTAATTAAAGTAATGAAACGTAGTTCCTAAATTTATATTATACATATAGTACATATATATGTATAAAGAAGTGTAATAAAAAAATATAGGTATGCTATATTTGTAATAATCGTGACAGATATTATGGAAACAGTAAGAGTTATGATTAAATCATATTATTATGCGCACGATTACATAAAATTATCATTAAAAAATATATAATATATTCCGTAATCTCTGTTAGAAAATCAAATGAAATAAACAGTATATAATAAACAATGAGCTGATCAAAAGAGTTCGAATTAGTAAATTTGGTAAATGTCAGTCATGAGAAGACACACATGTCACCAATCTGTCCTTCGCGTCTCTCAGGACTCACGAGACCATCTCCTGTTTCTTAACATGTGCAAATTGTGCATGTCGGAATAAACGTCTGTTGGCGAGCAGAGATGAAAAATTTTCTGAAACGGAATTTTCACACGTCTAATGATTAAACCATGTGAGAAAGTATGCGTTCAAATGGTGACGAGAATTTTATGAGTCATTTTGCAAATGAGGGTGCAAACGTGGATATATATATATATATATATATATATACACTGTAAAAAATGAAATGTTAATTTTAACTCAAAGACGTTGAGTGGATTTTCTGAAACATGCAAAAATGTTAACATTAACACAAAAATGTTACTTTTAACATTTTTGCATGTCTCAAAAAATCCACTCAACGTCTTTGAGTTAAAATTAACATTTTATTTTTTACAGTGTACATATGTAATGTACATATATATATTTACGTATATAGGTATACCAGTTACAATATCAATATCAGTTCTTGATAATATTGTTGTATCATAGTTTTTATGTGATTTCAATTTGCCTCAAAAAGTGAGGAAAAGTAGAAAAGTAATCATAAAATATGTAAATTATTAATATATTTCTTCATTATTTCAAATAAACATTTTCTATACAATATAATTATTAATTACACGTTATAGCTTTAACAGGAACACAGACGTGATAGAAAAAGCAAGCAAGAAAACCTTACTCTTTAATTAAAACTCCCTTTAAATGGTTTCGTAATTGGGTATTTCCGTACGCTTCATAAAAACGGGCTAAACGAAAATCAATTCTCAGCCTAAGAGAAAGAAAGGAAGATAGATAAATAGATAAATAGATAGATAGATTGGAGAGAGAGAGAGAGAGAGAGAGAGAGAATTGAGATTTAAGAAAAAAAACAAGACGAACATTCAGTGTTCTTTATGTGCAGTGATTGAATAGCATTAAAAAATTGCGAATGTGATAAAACGGAGTATAATCGATTTACAGATACAATGAAAATCCACAGAGCAAAAACATTTTTTGACTAACCACGTGCTTCTGATGTTCGTCATATCCGATGAAGATGAGCCTTAAGATGTATGCAGAAATAAAATACTCCTTTTCGCGCACTGTTGAGAAAGGAACCGAAGGAGCGATAACGCGCACCACCTCCACGGACGGGAGTCGGCCACTGACTGAACGTGACTCCGATTCTCTCTGGAACCGAGAGGAGGCTGCATTGGCCGGTCATGGACCATAGGCCTGCAGCCTTCCGATACTGAGGTGCGGTAAATTTTGCTTTTGTCTCATTATCTCACCACGCGTGGCTTCGTATCTCGTTAAATTTTTGACTGATAAATTTGTATGACATATTAAAATTTATGTTCTCCAAATCAAATTAAAATATATAGTTATTGTTATTTTTAAAAAGCCTCCCTAAACCTATAAGATTTAAAATTTATAATAATCATGATTATATAATATAATTGTTTTTACGCGCCCACAGTTGCTATAGCAATTCATATTATAACGATAATATGACTTTAATATAAATATGCATATGAGTGAATTATACAACATTGATTTCACATCAGTGAAAAAGAGATTGGTACTCTCTATCAATCTTTTTTTATTTTTTAATAATACGATTTAATTAGCGCAAGTAAGTCGTTTTATTCGAATGTACATACACTTCTAGGATATAAAACTAAATAAAACATACATAAAGAACGCGCGCGCGCATTGAGATTAATGTATTTAAATATCAATGTTCATGTCAATGTTTTATGTTTTGTACATAACCTTTGAAATGTGAATTATTTTTTATTTTTGTGTTACATAAGCTTGCTTTTTTTCTACATATAATGCCGTGTAATTACCATCAAATAAGTTAAATTGCACTTGTAGAAATAGAATAACATTATCGGAGTTCGAATAACTTTAAGGCGGCAACATTTAAATATAATATATAAAATCCAGTAGATAAATTTGCACATTTCACGCAAAATTATTACAATAATTGCAAAAGTAATTGTCTGAGAACAGAATAAATTTTGGCTATTATATTAGAAAAAGATTTTGAATTGCAAATTATTTAATGATATTATCTTTTAGATACTTTACAATAGTAGGTAAGTTATGATATATTAAAATGTACTATATTATAAATGTATATATTATAATATATTTATCAAACAATTTTTATTAGATAATATGATATAAAATATGTGACTGTATACATATATAATACATTTTTTTATTATTATCGCATATATTTACAATAAATAATTTATACAATTACTTTATCTCAACTAAACAGAAGCAATAAAAAAAATTGATTGTTGAATTAAAATAATTAAGATACCTCATTTATATATAGTATATATATATAACTTACCTTGAAAGTCGACGGCACATGATGAATAACTTCTCCGTTCTATTCACAGGATGCCAAGAGTTCTTATTTCAACACAACGCTAGTTCTGTTTCTTGTGACTGTAGAGCCTAAAGACCGTACGACACGGAAGCCGGTCCTCACGAAAGAATGCGCGCGTACAACTCACGGGAGAAAACTAACCGAAAGAAGCGCGGAACTTGGAGAGAGAACCGACCCCCGATATGAGTTGTTTTCGGTTGGTGTGGGTGTGAGGAAGAGCGACTAACGAAGAATGATGATATGAAGAAGAGAAAAGAAGGAAGGAAGGGAGTGAGAGAGAGAGAGAGAGAGAGAGAGAGAGAGAGAGAGAGAGAGAGAGAGAGAGA